ACTCACTGCATCTCCCCTGTGGAATCAGTGACTGGCACTCAGCTCAAGGCTGAGATGGGTCAGGGGTCTCCAGAGACAAGGGAATTTACTTCTCGGTTCTTGAGGCTCCAGTCCAAGACCAGTCTGGTCGGTTCAGGAAGCTCTACCTTCCTGCCTTCTCACTGTGCCCTCCTATGGGGGGGGAGGGGTGCTCTGTGGAGTCTCTTCTTTTAAGGAGGTTTACTCATTAATGCCACACTCCATGGCCTCATTTAACCTGAATTACTGCCTTACTCCAAAAACAGACACTGGGGGTCAGGGATTCGGCAAGAATTTTGGGGAGACATAACTAAGTCTACAGTGATGACTAGTTGGGGAAGTCTATTTCCGCAAAGGTTTTCTTTCTAGAAGAAATCTTTGAAATCATCAGTAGTTCCTCTTTTTTATGAAATGAGAAATTGAGGTTCACAGATGAGCCGGCTTGTCTACACTACAAATCCTATAAAGTACCTGCAAATTCCAACAAGTATCTAAAATCCCCGCAAGAATACTGTGAGCCCAAGTGGGCTCTCCTTCAATCCATTACATCTTTTGCAAGCACTGCCTATACTTACGACACTGTTGGCTAATATGGATATGCAAAACATGTCACACAGAATATAGAGCAATTTTTAAAATTTCCAGTGACCTCATGTACAAAAGTACAAACCTCGAGATAATTTCTATGACCCGACTGAATATTATTTAAGTTTTTTTTTTTTTTTTAAATTTAGAAAGAGGGGAAGGAGAAAGAGAGGGAGAGAAACATCAATGGGTGGTTGCTTCTCATGTGCCCCCCACTGGGGACCTGGCCTGAAGCCCAGGCACGTGCCCTGAATGGGAATCGAACCAGTGATCCTGTGATTTGCAGGCATGTGCTCAATCCACTGACCTACACCAGCCAGGACTATTTAAGGTTCTAAGAGAGTTAATGCTGGCTGCTCCGGGCTGACATTGGCCAAGAGGAAATGGTCAAAGGCCGACAGGAAAGGCTAACATAAAATCACGTTACTGATGCAAATGAGCTTTGAGTTACGGCTCCTGAATCCTACTCAGGCTCAGTGTAAACCCTCTGTAAGAATTTCTTGTTCAGTGGGGGGGAAGATCAGGGCAGCCAAGCGACTCCTCATTTTCCTAATACAGTCAGAACAACTTCTCTCTGACTCGTCTGCAGCGTGAGTTCGCTCTGCTTTCTGTGGATTGGAGAGTCAACAGGGAACCCCAAAGATATGCACAAGAACTAAAACGCTGTATTTGGACTAGTTGCTCTCACGTTCCTCTTTTTTTAAATAAAATTTATTTGTCTTTAGAGGGGAAGGGAAGGAGAGAGGGAGAGAAGTATCGATGTATGGTTGCCTTTCATGCGTCCCCTGCTGGGAAGTGGCCTGCAGGGAACTGGTCTGCAACCCTGGTATGTTCCCTGACTGGGAATCGAACCGCGATTGTCTGGTTCGCAAGCCCGAGCTCAATCCACTGAGCTACACCAGCCAGGGCTCACGTTCCTCTTTGACCCCAGGGAACCCTAAATAACTCGCTTGTGGCCTCTAGAAATTTCTTTAGTCAGTGGGGTCAAATCAGAGCCTGACAGAAAAGTCTAAAATAACCCCAATTTTTGTATACCCTCATTTTGGCCTCTCTGCTCCTTAGGAATGTATCTCAGCAAAGCTGGAAAAAATAAAAGTAAGACTATTTTTATGAAAATCACTTTCAATCAGCTAAAATCTGGAAATGGAATCCAGAGGTAAGGGGTACAGAAGGGGTCAACTTTATTCTAATTATTTCATTCTCCAATAGATCTTCGGTTTCTATTTTTCCTTATTATGGACCATATCTTTTTCTATGCCTTGTAATTTTTTATAAAATCAAATATTTTGAATATTAAAAAAATTTTTAAATTTATTTTTTAGCAAGAGGAGGAAGGGAAGGAGAAACAGAGGGAGGGAAAGACTGATCAGTTGCCTCTTGCAAACCTCTAACAGGGAACCTGGCCTGCACCCAGGCATGGGCTCTGACCGGGAATCGAACCAGCAACATTTTCTTTGCAGGCCAGCCCTCAAACGACTGACCCACACGAGTCAGGGCAAGTTTTGAATATTTTAATAAGGCAGCTCTGGAAATGAGGCTCTCCTCTCTTTCCAGGGCTTATTTTTGTTGTTTGTAGTTGTTCGTTTGGTGACTTTTTCTAAACTAGTTTTGTCATGCCTGAATTGTTTGTTGTGTGTAGCCACTGAAGTAGGTCTGTTACATTAACTTAGTGGTTACACAGGTACTTCCTTAAAAGCCAAACTCTCTCCCAGTCTTGTAGATGCGCCTGTGCAGGACGGCACAATCCCCCGCCAGGCAGCCAGAAGTTCACAGCTGGGCCTTAGTGTTTACTTCCTACCCGCACAGAGAGCCTCAAGATCAGCCAGAGGGCTTAAGAGCTTTTCAGATCTGTCCTGAGCCTATGCAGAACCCCGGACATGGGCACGGCTTTCTAGATACCCAGGAATGTGTCACAGCTGTTCACAAGCCTGTATTCCCCCAAAGCATCGCATTCCCTAACCTTTCTTCCCACGCTCTGGTGAGTCTACTGTTTACCCCAAATGGTATTCATTCCCCTAGACAGCAGCAACTAATACATTAGCTTGCAAGTGTTTTTGATAAATGGTCTCTAGGTAGCCCTCTCTGTACTGGGAGAATTATGAGTCAGGTAAAACAAAGGCACGCCCTCTGAGCTGGTACTCGGAGCAGCTGCCAGACAGCTCAAAAGAGACAAATAACCCTTTGCAAACTAGTTCCGCTGTACTCACTGTGGCACTGGCACACTCACAGGGAGAGTGGCTGCCATCTTCAAAGCCACTGCTGAGCTGGGGAGATGGAGACAAGTAAGTTAAAGTGCCACAGAGCTCTCCATTCTTACCAAGATTCAGCTCTTCCTTCTTGACCATGTTTCCCTGGTACTGCAAACTTGCAGTTGCCAGAGTTCTGAAAAAAAAATGGGATTATGACAGACTTTGCCAGTTTTGTATTCCTTCTATGGAGGGGTAGTCTTTCGACATTCCTTACTCCACCAATTTTGCTGCAGTTTGGATATAAATGATATAAACAGCAATATAGGATAGTGTGTCCAAAAAACCGTAGATATTGCATACGTTCAAGGGCACGGGAAACATTTATAAAAACCGAGAAACTCCTGGCCTGGATAGCAGGTCTCAACGATTTCCCTGAATTGAAACAATACATTTTAGAATGGGTATGTGCGTGTTTTCCAACAATAGTGGAATTAAAATGTAACTCAATGATAAAAGAGAACTGGAATCTGGCAGGCAGCCAGTTACTACAGCGCATGTCAGAATTGTATGTCAGGGTTGCTAGGCAGAGACATTAGAAATGTTCTAGACCGAGCCCCTGCCACCTCACCTGTACAAGGAGACTGACGGCCAAAAGTTGCACAGGGAGCTGGTGGCTGCGCTCGGCCCATGTCCCAGGACTCTCAACCCAACCTTGACACAGGGCTGCCTTGAGCCTTCCCCCATCCACTGGGGTCTGGTCTGCTGCTCTCCACTCTCCCCCATCCCACTTCCACACTGAGAATCCCAGCTTTGTCTTCTGACAGCCTTTTATTTTCCCCACAGGATAGCGTATTAAACACAGGCTAGTCAGGTTTACCACCTCCTAAGGGAAAGTTTTTTTATATTATCTACGTTACCTAATGATACCTGTATTTCCATAATTTCTAGTAAGACAATGTTTTAAAGATGGAACCAGGTATTATTGTCTCAGGAAGCCGAGAGACCAATCGGTCAGTCTATGAACTAATCGTGACCTTTAGTTAACCCTCCCATGGAGTTTTATTATTTCCTTCTGTTCCTCACTGAATGCAGTTTTTTACTCATAAAATTTCCTGGATCTTCTGACGCATGGACTCCGTAGCACAGGTAGACTAGACTGTCTCTCTGTAGCCAGCAGTCTAGGGAGAAACTGCTCAGTCTCCCAGGTTTGTCAAAGGGAGCTGTGATCTGATGTGAACACGCCAGACTTTTACATACCAGGCTGTTTGTAACTGGTACTATTGTTAATAATTTATTGAGGTCATGTCTAAGGTTGTTTTGAGTTTGGAGATCCTTGAAAACAATGGAGAAATACTGTTCATGTTTATTAAGCACTTGTTTCTCAAGGTACTGTGTCCACTTCTTCACACGGACTCTCATTTCAGCATTGCGTTGGCAGATTACACGAACTCCTGCCCCAGAGATCAGCAGAAGCCCCCCCTTCCGCTGACCCCCGTCACTGTCATCAAAAATCTCTATCTACTGTCTCAGCAGCAGAACTCGTTTCATGGAGTGAAATAATACACCAAGCTCAGGGAATGAATGGATCTTGACCGATCTAAGCAAATCATGGCAGTCTTGTTCTTCTTTGCTTAGATGTCCATGTTTTCCCAGCTTCCTTTGCAACTGGAACTGGCACACGACCAATAGGGATTTGAGTTAATCTGGAACTTCAGGGAAATTTCCAGTCTGCTAAATGTTCTTGCTCCTTCCCCTGAACCCAGGCCTATGACACTGCCAGTGCCGTCTTTTGCTAAATGCAGAGAGCTTAGACCTGGGGGCTGGATAGGAATCTCAATTGTGATTCTGAGCAATCCAGGGCATGTTCCTTATTTCTCGGGACCCTCACTGTCGTCACTGGTTAAACAGGGATAAGTAAATATGACAGAACAACAGAATACAGACTACATCAAACAAGGCATGAAAAGTTCAGTTGGCCTATAGTAGGGTTCAATAAATGGGATTCCTTACCTAATTCAAATTAATAAAAATATTCCAGCCGTGCCAATCGGTACTTTCACTGTGACACACAGACCCTATGTTATTCCACGACTTTCACTAAGTCATTTTGATTTAAAGCTCAGCAGAAATAAACATGTTTGTAGAAGTATTTTTCTTTTCTTTTCAGGAGCCTAGGTGTTAGTGATAAAGAACCACATATTAAGTAGATAGTTGACAAATTTCATTTACTTGCTTTTATAGCCACATGATTGTAAAAAAGCAAACAGCGCTAATGGCTGCTTTGGTGGAAACAGCATTGGAACCTCGGAAGGACTACATTCTCTGGACGGGTTTTATGCCCAGGATATCGAAGCCCTTGGCCATGACAGCGGCCACTGCTTCACACAGCAGCATACGGCACATGTTCACCTTCAACACTTTTCCTGGGAAGACAGAAATAAGAAGACAGTAACTAATTTGTTTTTCTTTTTCGAAATCATTATTAAAGAATATATGTTACTTCTGGATTTTACTGAGAAGTGAAAGCCCAACTCACAGATGTTTGGGGGCTGTTACCAGAATCACTTTTACTTTAAACTATAGAGACAATCCAAGAAATAAAGGTGTTTCTGCCCCGGCTGGTGGGTTGTTCAGTGGACTGAGCGCTGGCCTGAGAGCCAAAGGGTCACCAGTTAATTCCCAGTCAGGGCACATGCCTAGGTTGCAGGCCAGGTTGCCAGTATGGGGTGCATGAGAGGCAACCACACACTGATGTTTCTCTCCCTCTTTCTCCCTCCCTTTCCCTCTCTCTCAAGACAATAAAATCTTTAATCAAAAACAACAACAGCAGCAGCAGCAAGTTCAAAGCTACTCATACCCGATTCAAACAAATACCCCGCTGGTGCCCCATCTGCCATGTAGCCACCGGGGGGTGCCGCTCACCAGTCTGTCGATCTTTCTCTACACAGTAGCAGCTATCGTAGAATTCAGTGAAAGTAGTCGCCAGCTCATAGATATAATCGCAGAGCGTGTGGAGAAACAGGTCATCTAAAATCTTCTGCAGAATCTCAGGGAACCGTAAAATGCACCGGCCTAGTCTCCACTCCTTCTCATGGTCCAAAACGATCGTGGTCTCTCGAGCCGCTTTCTGGAGCATCTCTTCGTCGACACTGGCCAGACGCGCAATAGACCTGGAAAACCAGGCAGTCATCACCACTGCTCTTTGTTAGGTACCCCAAACGCTAATAAGACATGACCGGAACAAATGAAAAGTTGCCATCCTTTGATTAGAAGCAGGACAACGCTGCGCCCACAACTACCTGATTCTGGTGAAGGCATACAGTAAGTAAGCAGCTGTGTTCCCTCTGTCATCCAGCATTTTGTCAAAGGAGAAGATGTAGTCGTTCAGCCGGTTATGGGAGAGATCGGCGTATTTGATACAGCCGTAAGCTACGGATGTCTGAGCAGCCTTCAACTCCTCTGCGGTTAGGACCTTATGGAAAAACAAAGCCAAACCCCACAGCTTACTGACCACTGCCTTTGTCCTGGTGTCTCACAGACAGAAGGCGAGGGCAGGGAGCATCTACTGGTGCTCCCCTATCGGTAAACCGCAGGACAACGTGGGCCTATCTACAAAGAGAATGATGAAAATATAGCTCATCGGCTATGCACAACAAAGAATGTTTCTATGAGAAACTCGATTTGTAAAATAAAATCTAAGCACTAAGGTCAAGTAATTAATGAAAATCGAAGCAGGATGTCCAGAGCAGGAGGAAGAACTCGTGCATTGTTTTGCCAATATTTGGTCACACACAGAAGCATTATTAAGCCACAGTAAGTAAGGATTTCTGTTCTGGACATGATTTGGTAGTTTGTAGTAAACTAACCCTTCCACCGAAATCAACTATTTAAAAGTTGGAAAAATTGCCCTGACTGGTATGGTCCAGTGGGTTGGGTGTTATCTCGGAAACCCACAGGTCGCCGGTTTGATTCCCAGTCAAGGCACATGCCTGGGCTGTAGGCCAGGCCCCTGGTTAGGGACGTACCACAGGTGACCGATCGCTATTTCTCTTGCACATCAGTGTTTCTCTCTCTTTCTCCCTCCCTTCACCTCTGTAAAATACATACATACATACATATATACATACATGAAATCTTAACCAGAAAAAAAGAAGGTTGAAAAATTATATGAAGCCACAGTTTGAAGTCACCAGATAGCACTGACACAAGCACAGTTAGGGGGTTAATTCATCTTCGCGATAAGGGAAACGAGCCAGTTCCACATTCATCTGGTACTTTCCCTGAGGGCATTTTCCAAATCACTACGTGCTGGACCAGGCGAGGACAAAACCCAGGCAGGAAAAGGCGGTCTCACTGGGGTAAGACAGTTCAGAGACTGGGGCTGCCAAAGAAGTGAGGACAAAACCGCCAAGAAGGGGAACCAGAGAAGACTGGAAAACTGAACACAGTTCTTTCAAACTGTCCAGTGGCTGGTACTAGAAAGGCACCCATCACTCCCACAACCTCACCGGGGAGCGCAAGTGCATGGCTGAAGAGAGAAAAAGATCTCAGCAGTTGTTTAAGTAAATAACCTCGTGAAACCATGAGGGACATATTTCAAGATTAAAAACTCACCCTTTGAGTTCGGTTACACTGAAATAGTTCAGCCCTAACACAGTCTAACTGGAATTCTATACCCAAACAAAAATATTATTCAAATTGAAAATGATATAAAGATATTTTCAAACAAATGCTAAAAAAATCTGTCACCAGCAGACTTTCACTACAAAAATGACTAAAAGATCTTCAGGCCGAATAAAAATAATCATAGTTGGAAGTAAAAAACTGCAGAAAGGATTAAAGTACACAGGAATAAAAATGTGGATAAAAATAAATACCACCAACCAGTTTAAAACTAACGCTTGGCAAAAACTTGGCCAGGTCCTTTATAAAAGAAAATGTCTAAATGGCCAATAAGCACACGACAAGGCGGTCCACCTCGCTGCCCATCAGGGAAACGTAAGTTTTAACCACAGCGGGCGCCTCTGCACACTCGTGAGAAAGGCTGTAATAAGACGGACAAAGGCAGGTGCTGACGGAGACACGGGGCAGCTGGAACAACCATGTCCTACCGGTGGGAGCTCCCTGGAAATTCTTCTTAAGATTTTATTTATTTATTTTCAGAGAGAGGGTAAGGGAGGGAGAAAGAGAAAAACATCCATGTGAGAGGCGTACTGATCATCTGCCTCCCATACATGTCTCATCCAGGGACCGAACCTGCAACCAACGATGTGTCCTGACTGGGGATCGAACTGGCCACCTCTCGCTCTGAGGGAGGACACCCAACCGAGCCACACCTGTCAGGGCTCCTGGGAAATTTTTAATGAAGTTAAGCACAAGGCTACCGTTGTGTTGCCTACTCTGACAGCTCAGCGGTGGTCCTGGGTGGTGTGTGTGGCTGCCAGGTCTACTCTACCAACACTCCCAGAGAGAGGGGCTCCGCAGACGGAGCCGCCAGCGCAGGCTGGAAGCTCAGACCGCCTCAGTGTGCAGAGGTCTCCTATCGCTGGGTCAAGGCAGAGGCAGGTCAATTGCCCATAACAAGCAGGGATGCTATGCTATATTCACGGAGGAGAAGATGCCATTGTTTTGTAATAGCCAAGACCTGCATTTTCAAAATAAATGTTTAACAACTCAACAAACTTACTGTGCAATAAAATCTGAGTAATATAAGCCTGTGGTAAGTGGATCGAGTCCTTATAATAATCCCAGTCCCATCAATAAAATAAAAACAAAAACTCACAACACAATGCATGATACACGATATGTAAAGAAGGCCTGGAATTACCTTGTCTCGTTCCTTCTCCTTCAATTTGTCCATGGATCGTTTTAATCCTTCTTCCAAAAGGTCTATGAGGCGCACTGTTTCACCTGAACGTGTTTTAAACTTCTTCCTAAAACAATTTAATGAAATGCCTAACTAAATAGATTCTGAAACAGACCTGACTTAGAAACCTTCAACAACGAAGGCGTGGCAGCGCCCTACGTCAGTGTGCAACCAGGGAGCGCGCCAGGAGAAACAGGCGCACTTTCGAGTGCCCTTCCTGCAGAGCCCGCGACTCAGAGCCCTCTGCTTTAGGCCCCAGTAGCTTCGGTACGCGTTCACCGTCCCTACGCTCCCGGAAGAAACAAGACATTTGTTACTTCGTTTTCCTGAACACAAAGTTTGGCTTAGTTACTTAACCTTCTTAAGAAATTATTAATAAGACACACTTTTGCTTCTAGAATTGTTTTGGGAAGTAGGCAAATTCTTAACTGGAATCTCACTAGCACTTCCCCGCATAGTAACCAACCCTGAATGCATAGTATAATCAGCTGAAGAGCTTACAAATCCTTCAAACACAATAGTCGTATAATGATGCACTCTTTCCTTTCTCACACAAAGCCTACCAAAATAATTGTGATACTTCCTATTAAAGTTGAATTTTCAGATGTGCCTTAGAAAGGATATTCTTGCCCTTTATCACAGAATAATCAAAGAAGAATAATCAAAACTCTTCTATTATTCCAGAAACGCATGAACTACTCCATGGCTTTCCTCGCGGAAAGGCATCGCCTCCTCGAGTGTCCAAGAACCTGTAAATCTGTCTGATGAAATGATACCCATCATAAAACTTAGCAAAGGGCTAAGAGACACCTCCCTTAACATCACTCCTTTGCAATAACTGTTTTTTCCGTTACTCCCTACCTGCGCCTGCCGGGAATTCTGGGTTTTTTTTGTCTATTGCTCTGACCAGTGAAGGGATGCATATCTGAACACCAAAAGAGCTTACAAAAAAATAAGCTTGGCCCGGACCCGTGCGGCCCAGCTGGCTGGGTGTCAGCTGCAAAGTAAAAGGCCACCAGTTGGTTCCCAGTCAGGAAACCTGCCTGGGTTGTGGGGTTGGTCCTCGTTCGGGTGCATACAAGAAACAACTGATTGATGTTTCTCTCTCACATTGATGTGTCTCTCCCTCTCTTTCCCCCTCCCTTTCCCTGTCCTAAAAAAAAAAAAAAAAGAGAGAAGAGGGCTATAAGGGGACTAGATGGTGATGGGAAAAAATACAATAAAAGTAAATAAATTAATTTAAAAAAAGCAGCAGCCTAACACCCATGTTAGACCCGAGTTAGTAAGCACCCCCTGGTGGGCCTGGCACGTATATTTCAACATGCTCCACAGAGGATCACTCTGTTCTGCAGACCTTCAGGGCCACTGTGGAGCACCAGCTGATGCCTGGCCCAGCTGGTGCTTAATAAACAGGCATCCAAGGAATAGCAGGAGGTGATTAAATAAAAGGGTCAATTATTTGTCATAAAATGTCTTCATGCAGAAAAATCTCACCAAAATATAGGTGGCAAAATCTGTGGGCATTTTAATGTATTTAAGCTGCAGTGGGCTGCCACTGGTTAACTATCACTAAGATTACTCTTCACTTTACTGCTCTTGGATACCACAATTAGATAATGATGAGAGTGCAGAAATACAATAAAACAACAACAAAAAATAAATCAACAACCACAAAATCCCATGGCCATCGCGTAAGAAAGTTAAATGCCAGGATGTGAACATTGGCGATAAATATCAAAAACAAAAGCAGATTTGGTACTTTCACCTAACTGTAGGACTAACCATCTAAAAGTCAGTCAACAACATCAACAGTTAGGACACTAAGACCCTGTAAGCAATACTCAGCCCACTGGTCAGCTCTCCAGCACCGTGAACACCAGGACCCAAGGTCTTCTGATAGCAAAAAAGTGGGGCTCGACAGAAGATTCGCACATTAGGATTAAAAGTGTTCCCTGCTGATGCCGACAAGGTCTTTGATCTTCATGTAACCTGTCTATAAAAATACCTTGACACACCTAACCTGCCTTTTCTGTTTCATTAGGGCTTTTGTACATCAGCTGGTCAAGCACCTTGAGCTACTCCAAGTGGTTTTCATAACGTTACGGTCTTTGTGTAATGGGAGTATGTGGGTGGTGTCACCAAAATCTAAAATGCCAAAGATTTTAAAGACATGCTGATTAAATAGCTAAGTAATTTTTATTGGATATAAAATGTTACAAATTTTGTGCCTTGGAATTGAAGAATACTGTGTATAAATATTTGCTTGTATTTATATTTAATTTCATAAAGGCTGAGCCTTTATGAGGGGAAAGAACTTGATTATAGGAAAACAGAAAAGTATGGCTATTGACATGCATGTCTTAATAAACTTAGTGTTTGTGAGATGAGCATAATGGAAGCTGTGAATGTTAAAACAGACATTTGCAAAATGCTTGAAATACACTGTTAAATATTTGGTTTGCAATCTAAGAAGGCACAGTGATAGAATTTATAATGTAGATCTGTGGAAATTAAAACTCTTTAAATCTGTTAAGTCTATAGTCTGTTTCTCACTCAACTTTGTACAAATCTCCCTAAACGGTTTCACTCTCCCCACACGTGATTCTAAAACAGCTCAGCTGATTCACCACCAGAGCATAAACAGACTAAACAAACCGTGGGCTCTGAAAATTCTCATATGGTATCAAATGAAATGCAGCCTCACGCAAAGGCATTTAGGGGTCAGGTGTGCTAGTACCACCTTTAGACTTTCCAGACTTACTTGTCTTCCCCCAGCACCACACCAAACCCGGCATGGGACACTCGAGTGACTTTAGGGTCATACCAACCGATCATCTGAGCAGCAGCAAATATCGCCTGAAAGTGCACAGACTACAAAGAAACAGAACAGAACATTACTTGGTAAACTTTCTAATGACAAGAAAATGACTTAAAGCTTTTTTGTGATTAAGGATAAAGATCTGTATAACACAGGTCACTCACAACTCTTAAAGGGCAAGTATAATTATAAAAGCTCCTTTTTATTCCCCTTACATGGCAAACAGTAACAGCAGGACTATTACGGTTTCTACATTCAAAGGTTTTTTAAGCAACTGAATTTAGGGCAGGTTCATGGGCACCAGTTTCAATTCAACTTCCTGTCACGCAACCACCATTTCAGACAGGAAGGGTCACTGAGGTTCAGAGGAGTAACACTGGTTCCAGTTTATGGGGATGAGCCAAAAAGCTGGGAAGTGTCCCCCTTTTACCAAATGCAAACACTGTTCTCCCCTGTTACAATGCTATTCTTGATTTTGGTCTCTGGGGAAAATCTATGGTCCTCAAGTGCCAAATGCCACAAAACTCACTAGACCATCTCACACGCAATGAGACCACATACACATCTGCAAACTCACTTGCCCACTGTCCACCACGTAGATAATCGTATCTGCTTTTTCCTCATGTAGTCGCTGTTTAATCGCAGCCAGGTCAGATGTATCATACGTGTAACCTCCATCTGATTTTACTATGGTTAAAGGTATGGAGCATCCTGGGACAAATACGATCTTTCTGCCATCATCCACTTGCACAAATCCTAGAAAAAGAATCTTTATTAATAATGTTAAAAGAACCCTGAAGAAATATAAATGCTGAGCTGTCACAGGATATTTATTAGAGAGCTAAGGCAGCACACGATTTTTTTCTGTCTGTGACCTATGTGCCTTGGAAAACGGCGACTGTCCTGGTTGTCTGGGCGCCCAGGGTGTCTGCAGGGAACAGCAGAGCGACCCTGACCGTCTGCTGGACTTGCACTACCCCTGGCTCCCAAACTCTCTGCAACAAACCTCACTGGAGCCCGTCTGCTCAGCAGACACAGAACACCTAAACCCATGCTTTGTGTTCGAGCTGGGGCTATAGCCTTCCTCTGGGAGAGAGATGCAGGTTCCATTACTCAAATGTATTCAAAGAACATGGTGACAATAACGACGGCTGTATTTGAGTACTATAATGTGCCAAATACTATGCCAAGTCTTATCTGGCCTTCACAATAACTCTATGCAACACATACTATTATTTTTGCTTTTTTACAGGTTAGGAAACTGATGCTTGGTAAAGGCGGTATAAAAATGCAGTGCTTAGAGCATGTTTTTAACCTTATTAGCCATGTGACCTTGAGAAGTTACTAACTTCTCTGTGCCTCTTTTCTCATCATTTAAAGTCTTTAAAATTGTATTATCTTAAAACTATGGCCCCTTTCGGTCTAGACTGTGATAGATAAATATCATTTCCTATTCAAGTAACCAGGCTTTTTTAGAAATATCAGATTAGTTGACTTCAGTTATAAGGCAGAAAATGTATAAAATAACCCTCAAATATCATATACCAGAAACCAATTAAACTATCAAACACTATAGAAGTCAACAGAAAAAAAAAGAACAAGAGCCACTGTGAGGCAGTTATCATTAGCCAAAAATCTGAGCATCAGAAAAATAATAAAGCCCTGGATGGTGTAGTTCAGTGGATTGAGCACGGCTTGTGAACCAAAAGATCGAGATTTGATTCCCAGCCAGGGCATATGCCTGGGTTGTGGGCCGGGTCCCCAGTGGGGGCCACGTGAGAGAAACATCAATGTTTCTTTCCCTCTCTTTCTCCTTCTCTTCTCCTCACTCTAAAAAAAGAGAAAAAATAATAAAGGCAAGTAACTGAAAATATAAAATATACTAATGTCATTTTCATATCTGGAAGAGGCTAAGAAACAACTTTATTCTTCTGAAAATTGATAAAGAAAAACAAAACCAAATGTTTTTACTGTCTTATGTAACCTATACATCAAGATAACCAAACAAGATGACAAAGTTCAGTACAGCAGGAGTTCCCGGTAACAAACCAAGGAGGAATGACAGGGTTTTCCGGCCACTAGAACAGTCATGGTCAGTAGTTGCTAAAACCCCTGGGGAGGGGGGTGGGGAGTCCCACGGGAAAATGTAATAGGTCAGGTGACAACGCCTGAGCCCGTGGCACATCCCAGCATCACAAAAAGCGCCAATCTGACATTGTTTCCATTCTTGCAAATAAACAAAGACAAAGCAAGAAAGGAGAACACAAACCAGATTTTAATCAAGCCTCTTTAGAAAACACAGAAAGAGGAATTATATTAACTAACACCATATGGAAAATTCTGTAAAACAGATGGTGCAGATTCTTCAACAACAAAAGAAAAAAAAGGGAGGGAGGAAGGAGATACCTATGAATTTACAGAACTTAAGATACATGCTAAATAATGTAACGTTCAGACTCTGAAAGAGAAACCCTGGTGATTAAAAAAGACTGTGAATCTATTTGGGATATTTAAACTCTGATGGGTCATTTAATAATACAAGAGACTATTTTTAATATTCATGGAGTGATAACAGTACCATGATTTGGGACTGGGAGTAAGAGCCTATTCACTTAGATACAAACCGAAACAGTTATGGATGAAGTTATATATGATGTAAGTACTGCAGACACACAAGACTGCCCGGTCTTCATAATTGTTGAAGTTGGGTGACGAGTACACGAAGTTGGGGGGCACTGAATCTATCCATTTTTGACTTTGTTTACAGATGTCCATAATAAGCCCTGGCTGGTATGGCTCAGTGGACTGAGTGCCGGCCTGTGAACCGAGAGGTCACTGGTTCGATTCCCAGCCATGGCACATGCCTGGGGGGTCCCTAGCTGGGGGCACGGGAGAGGCAGCTGATCATCTCTTGCACATGGATTTTTCTCTCCCTCTCTTCCTCCTTTCCTTCCTCTCTCTCTACAAATAAAGTCTTCGAAAAGCAATTTCCATAATAAGAGTTAAAAATAGTGCCTACCTTTATCTTCAAATTCCTTTACGACATCATTCATCCGATCTTGATAAAAGGACTCTCCCCTCTCTATCAAAGATATGTCCAATGCATCGTAGATTTTATTAAACTCTAGAGAAAAAAGTCACCGAGTGAAGAAAATGGTTAAGAATTTAAACAAACAGATAGCTTACATTAAAAGAAATTTTACTATTTAACTGAAATATTTAGAAGGAAGAAAATAATACTTAAGAAATGTATGATATAGAACATTATATATACACTGCCTTTTGGAAAATGTGGGAAGAATGTGGCAAGCCACGTATCAAAATATTAACAAAATAATTTTTATTTTATTTTTCCTGTCTGCATTGACATATTTTCCCTGAAAACAGCATATATTTCCTGTGTAACTTTCAGTCCGGTTTTTTTCAAATGTGAGAACGAAAACAAAAGAAACAAAAGCCTTTTGTATCTGAAGATGAAATATTTAGTATTTTTAATGGTTTTTCCTGATGTGCACCATTGACCTGTCTGCCTAGCTGGGCAGCAGACACAGCACTGCCCGTGGCAGCACCAGAGAACACTTTACCACCGAGGCCTGCAGAACAGCCAGCAGCAGCCGTCTTTCTCAAAGACCTACGGGCTGTTCCTGTCCCTTTATTCTTCAAAGTGACCTTTACAATTACTCTGTCAAGTTCGAAAATTTGGAATAGTCTTAAATGCCAAACTAATTTCACTAGGTCGGGGACTCTGCACGGCACTCTATCCAAAGATTCGACTACATCTGCTGTGTATTTCTCTTCATTTTGGTCCCACACATTTCTATCAGTGTATTCCTAAGTGTTTTATAGCTTCAGCTGCTACTGAAAACGGGATCTCTTCTTTTTCTTTTCTACTTTCTTTCCTAATTTTTACTGACTTTTGAGAAAATTAAATTTTGCAATTGCTTCTCATAATAAACTTTCTTAATAGTTGTTTCAGTTTCAAAAATATTTAAGAAAAAGTCTATTTGCTAGTCCTTGAAAGTTTAACACGTCATTTAAGGTCAATTCTGCATAATAACTCAAGGATACTACATGCAATAGTACTTGCTGGATGTATGAGCCAAACCCAGAAACCCACCCTGGCGGGAGACATCACAGATGAGCTTCCAAGCTTTTATGATGTCTGGATCTTTACCCTGCAGCAGAACCACGCACTGGTAGGCTCGCTTCTTAAATTCCTCCTCAGTATCAAATCTCTTCTTGGATTCCTAGGTTTAAAAAGAGAACTAAGGTTTATAAAAAGAGCCGACCCTGTATTTTAGATTAGGAATTTGTCCATTTGTGAAAAAACAAACAAAATTCATCAATGCCAAAGAGTGAGGAAGTGAAAACTTGAAGACCAGAACAAGTGCTCTATCTTAATAGTCAGGAATATCGTTACAACTGAACGTGCCAAAGAACATTACTATTTCTTTTAAAGTAATTTTTCTTGAAATACAAAATTCCCACCACTGCGCTGCCTCCACTTTTCTCATTCACAAAAGCCCACTCACACCAGTGCTTCTGTCTGCTCCAGAAGAGCAACCAACCACAGATAACAGGAAGTGCTGATTTTTCTGGGCTCTCTATGCCATTCGAGATGGGGTCCTGGGTGAGTAATTATTTGTAACTAAAAATAAAATTGTTTTGTTTTATTTCTATTTTGAAAGCAACATGTTTACTGTAAAAAACAAATGTGTATAGTTAATCTTACTCCAAACTAACCAATGATAACAACATGTTGCTACATAATTCTAGATACTTCTTTGCAAATACACACCTACACACTTTAACAAAACCGGGTAATATACAACTTTCCCTTTACTGTGGTTTTAAGATTGAGCGATGTATTATAAACATCTTGCACTAATAGATCTGCCTCATTATACTCAGAGCACAGAATTCCAACAGCTAATTATAATATTAGAACATTAGTTATTGGTTATTTTTACTTGATTGATATCAGGAAATATTGTGGTTACTTTATATTTTGGTTATTTTTTTAAAGATTTTATTTATTTTTAGAGAGAGGAAAAAGAGGAAGAGGGGGAGAGAAAGATCAATGTGTGGTTGCCTCTCCTGTTCCCCCTTACACAACACAATCTGGCCCACAACCCAGGCAGTGTGCCCTTGACTGGGAATCAAATTGGTGACCCTTTGGTTCGCAGGCTGGCACTCATTCACTGAGCCACGCCAGCCAAGGTTTCAATTTTTTATTTTTAGATTTTTTATTTTATTTATCTTTAGAGAGGAAGGGAAGGAGAGAAATATCAATGTATGGTTGCTTCTGGTGCATCTCCTGCTGGGAAATGGCCTGCAACCCAGGCATGTGCCCTGACAGGGAATCAAACCTCGATCTTTTGGTTGGCAGGCCTGTGCTCAATCCACTGAGCTACACCAGCCAGGGTTTGGAAGAGTTTTTAATAGCCCTGGCTGGTGTGGCTCAGTGAACTAGGCTTATCCTGAAAACTGAAAGGTCACCGGTTTGATTTCCGGTCAGAGCACATGCCTGGGCTGTTGGCGAGGTCACGGGCTGGCAGCTTGCGAGAAGCAACCGATCAATTTTCTCACACATCAAGGTTTCTCTGCCTCTTTCTCTTTCCCTTTCCCTTTCTCTAAAAATAAATTAAAGAAAGGAAGAGTTTGTAATATAATGTTAAGTACCATACAAAATATTATAGTCACAAATAATGTAATAAATGTTTGAATATGGATAAGTGAAGAAGTCAAAGAAAGTTGACCACAGTGATTGATTTAAAGCTAGGATTTATGATAAATTTGTCTTTTAAAAACTTTTCTTCCATATACTTAATAACATTTTCAAAATATATAAAATTGAGAGAGAAACAACAGCATCAAAAACATTTTAGCCCTGGCTGGTGTGGCTCAGTGGGTTGAGTGCTGGTCTCAGACCCAAAAGGTCATCGGTTTGATTCCCAGTCAGGGCATGTGCCTGAGTTGAGGGCCAGGTCCTCAGCTGGCGGCATGTGAGAGGCAACACATAACATCGATGTTTCTTCCCCTCTTTCTTCCTCCCTTCCCCTCTCTCTAGAAATGAATAAATAAAATCTTAAATAAAATGCTTAAAAGAAAACATTTTAAAAACTAGGAGGGGATAGAAAAAAGCTTAAATACTAAAATATATTTTGATTAACAAACTCCTAAACTCACTTAACAATAGGTAATGTGGTAGGATTTAATTTTTCACACACACCAACACAGAAGCAAATGTGTTAAAGGGGTGCGGAGTTTTGCAACTTTTATTCAGACCCACAGTAGCTTCAAATACCACTCTGAACTCTGCAGGGAAAATAGATAATTACAACGAATGGTGAACACACAAATAATGTAAGTCACTGGTATCAAACCTTATAAAAGGCCTGAAGATCCCCAATAGGAGGTGAAACTGTTACGTAATCTGGAAATGTGTCTTGCAGGTGAGCGATGAGCATGCCAAACTGGGTCCCCCAGTCTCCGATGTGGTTTAACCTAGAGCCAATCAGAAGCCATGAAATAATAAAAAAATGATAAACACGATTGATTTAGAGGAATGATACTCCATTAGCGACCACCAACACGTAGGCGCTGGCCCCTCACACCGTTTAACCAGCGGCTCTCCAACTGGTCTGCAAAAGTCAGAGGCATCTGCTATTTTTGCCAATGCACCGTATTTTGCCATGTGCAAGGCATACTTTTGTGCCCAAATTTTTGAGGTAAAAATAAGAACATGCATCATACAAGGGTAAAATGACTACATACTATGGGCATAGTAATCCCATGTAGAATGTGTTCAAAACCTCGGGTGCGCATTTTACACCAGAGCACATCCTACACTGCAAGATGTGGTGCATCCAGTAACACAGGCTGCACAAACCAGGCTGTGGGATTCGTTAAATGAATGAAGCTTCTATTAACGGACTGTGATCTTTTCATTGTGCAGTTAACTGGGACAATGACTGCTGAACAAATGTTGGTCATTATCACAATTTTATAAAAATTTAACTTTTCAACCAATTATATCTGTAATTTACACTGTAGTTCTCAAGTATCAACAGATAAAATTCTACAAAATGCATGTCAATTCAACTACTTTGCATCCCTCACTGCTTTTAAATAATCTCAAACCACCAGATCACCTCTTAACTGGATTATTACAACAGACTGCTAAGCTATTACTACAGTTCTCCCTTCTTTGCCTGGCTTATTTACAGAAGCCAGAGTGGTCTTCAATTAGATTACAGACTAATTATTGTGCCCTGCTTAATTGAGTTTCACAGAAGTTACATTTTTGACCAAGTGAAGGTAAGACCCTCCACCAGCAAAAATAATCATGACTCACTTTTATCTTGGCTCTGACTTTACTGTGGTGGTCTGGAGCTGAACCTGGAGATTCTCACTCTACTAATTAAGACTCTCTGGTAGCTTCCCATTACACTAAGGAATAAAATCCCAATTTCTACCATGGCCTACAAGGCCCTGCAAAATCTTTCCCTTGCCAACCCCTCCCTGTACTAAAATATAAACACCTGGTATGCATCAAGAAATACTTGTGGAATGAATGGTGGGGGCCAGGGAGCTGACTTTTTTCCTTGGTTCCACCCCCAGAGAACCTAAAAAGTTATCGGTTCAGAGGAGAGGCCCAGGACATAATCTATTTAAAAAGCCTACTGGGTGATCAGCAGCAAAACCATGCTCCAGAGTCACTGACTTAGTCCAAGATTCTTTCTCAAGAGACACTCATCATTTTCTACAGAACTCTCCGAAGGCGAGAGTACACACCTTAGCACATCGTATCCCGCAAATTCAAAGAGGCGGCACATGCTCTCTCCTATGATAGTTGACCTGAGATGGCCTACGTGCATCTCTTTAGCTATGTTGGGAGAAGAAAAGTCCACTACAACCTAGGACAGAAGGCAAAAAGAGGGACAACAGTGTTATACTATAATTATGTAATGTGATAAATATAGCTACAGAGGCAATCATATTACAACATGTAAATAAATCAAAATAACATACACCTTAAATTTACACAATGCAATTTATATGTTAAATATATGCAATCAAGAGATTTTTAAAAGGCACATACACATTTTATTCTGCTAACACATTCATTAATAATATATGTAATAATAAACCCAAACTTAAATAGTAGCTTGGCATGCCATTCAACTGCATTGTCTTCTGATAAATCTATCTGTCCATCAACAATTGAAAAAGAATCAGATCTGTTTACACAAATTATCTATGATCTATTTCAGCAATAATTCCAAAACATCAGCTGGCTACCTCAAATGCCTTCTGAAATAAAGTGAAGAGAAAAATCACATCACAAGCAAGATCCAGGAAGAAGGCTACACCACAGTTATGTTCATAATCTCACATATTAATGATTCAATCTCAACATGAGAGGTGAAAGCCCCCAGTGAAGCACTTTTCATATAGTTTTAAGCATCAGTCTATCAATTACAAGTGTACATATACCTTTTTGTTCTCTCCAAGGGCAGGCAGTCGAACACCATTCACCAGGAGATTGGTCAGCTGTTTTGATACAAAGTCCTTCCGTAAGTGGACATTAATAAAACCTAATGGAACAGCACAGGGGAGAAAAAGATCAGACAGCCCCCGTCTTCAAGGACCGTTCTCTCCAAAGACTTTCTCGACTTCTCTTATGTAGCCCCCAGGTGCGGACCTGGCTTAGGCAGCACTCTTCGGGACCCCGATACCACCCGGGGCCTTGACTTGAGCCCCCCTGTCAGCCCTGTTTCTGCACTGACTTCGAACCTGACCCTTCTCCTGGAAGCTTACTTGATTCAGGGACCTCTCACTCCCCGCAAAGGATCTGTTCATCTCTTAACAGAAAACAGCCACAGGCTTCTCTGACATTATCTGTTTGCTGATGAAAAAACTCAATCAAAAAGAGGCACGGTAACTCATCTAAGATCAGGCCACTAAGTGTAGACTGAAACTTCAGCTTCCTAACTCTCAATCCAAGGTGCTTTCACCATCTTGTTCAGCACAGAAGTCTTAATCCTGCATTTATATTTAAAAATGGTCTTCATTCTTATTTCAAAAAGGATTCAGCCTCAATACGACTGCTTAAGAAGAGTAACATTGTCATACCGGGACCAGCAATTTCAACTTTTTCAATACAGTCATTGTCTGGGAGGTGCTTGGTAATGTTTTCGGCAATTTCTCTTGGATTCACTCTCTGTTCCTTGGTTTTGAGCATCTATAATACAACATAAAAATTTCATTACACAACCAGTTTCAGCAAGTGACTGAGAAATGCACACTGACAAAGCCCTAGATGCATCTGACATAGACCAAACAAAAAGCAGAGGCAGAGAAGCCCAATGACTTGTAAGTGGACAGATTAAAGAAACACGCATTGCCCTGGCAGGTGTGGCTCAGTGGATTAAGCTCCAGCCTGCAACCCAGGGGGTTGCCAGTTAAATTCCTAGTCAGGACACATGCCTGGGTTGCAGGCCAGGTCCCCAGTAGGGGATGCATGAGAGGCGACCACACATTGATGTTTCTCTCCCTCTCCCTCTTGCCCTCTAAAAATAAATAAACTATTGGGTGGGAAAAATCATGAAGCATCAAGAGTCTCAAGAATACAGAAGCACCAAAAACACATGATGTCCATTTTAAAACGAATGGCCACGCATACTTGTAATCTTTTAATGAATACATTAAATAAAGTTTTTAGTTCTTATGCTTATTTCCAATGTATTTACATTTCTAACATTCAAACCATGAAAGTGTGCAATACACAGACTTGGGTAATAACAAGCACCCTTATAAACTTAAATCCAATGAAGACACATAAAAATTATCTAGGAAGACAGCCCTGGCTGGTGTAGCTCAGTGGACTGAACATGGGCCCGTGAACCAGAGGATCTCAGTTTGATTCCCAGTCAGGGCACATGCCTGGGTTGCAGGCCAGTTCCCAGCAGGAGACCCACGAGAGGCAACCACACACTGATATTCTCTCTCTCTCTCCCCTCTGAAGATAAATAAATAAAATATTTTTAAACAAATACCAGCTGAATAAAAAAAAAATTATCTAGGAAAAAAACCTGGACTCTTAGATTAAAACCCTTTCTATTCAACCAAAAAAAGAAAGCAAAGTCCCAAAGCAGGACAATTAACCACAAACACATGAGACAATGTAGCTATTTAAAATAGGGAATTCTGAATGAAAACAAAATAAAACAGCCCGCCTCAAGGACACCACAGCTCCATCCAATATTTGATGAAAATGCTGGCTGGTACATGGCTAACTTTTAACCTCTCACCTTGCAATGCCCACCAATCACACACCACAGTCCCAGACACAACAGGGGCAGGCACAGAAACAAAACAACGCCAATACCTACCACTGCCCTTAACCATCAATAACACCTAAAATCTAACTCAATATCCAAGTCTGTACTTTTTAAAAAATTAAAAACATACATTCCCTTTTTTCAAGTTCTCCAGAATTGTGGAGAATGTTCTTTTTATTGAGGCTACATAAGAATTTGCTATTAATTACGTAGATGGCAAATATGATGATAATGCATAGGAAAATCAAATCACCGAGAGTGCTTCAGAATAATGCAATCACCTGAGAGATACCCATAGCGCTATTACACTGATAGTCCCCAAACTTGGGCTGCTGACTGGGTGTCACCATGAGCGGAGGGCTTGCCAAATCGGGATACGCAGCCCTAATGGCACAGCCAAAGATCTCTTGTAGGTGGCTGTTGATGTTAATCATGTTTTTAGTTGGTTTGTTCCTTTCTGCTTGAAGACTCTGTAAGAAAAGAGTAAAAATATCTCGGTAAAATATTAAAATTTCCCAAATACTCTAAGAGAACTTTTAATGTCCTAAGAAGAACTGAAAGGTAACACACTCCCAGTTCAATGCTCCCACATCGGGGCAGGCTGAAAAATGTCACAGGTCACGCCCATCCATCCCCCTGCAGGTGAGACGTGGGGGAAAAGTCCCAAGTTCTCCTCCTTTAGTTACGTTACTAGAACATGGACTGGAAGTAGGGAGTATAGAGAGCTGACTAAATCACCTTCTAAGCTTCTCTAAAGTTCTGAAAAAATAGCATAAAATTGGATATATATATTTCAAATCCTGGAAGTGAAAACCCTATGTATAAAAACAAGAAAAAAAAAACCTTGCAAAAGTATGTAATTATTTAACTATTATGCTGTATACCTGAAACTAATACAAAACTACACTGAATGTAAACTGTAACCGAAAAAAATTTAAAAAGTTAAAAAAATGTATTCACATGTTCTTTTTATTAAAATGTTGAGCTCTTCCAGGCATGAAATGTATCTCTCATAGGCTGTTTTGTCTTACTGTTTTCTGTGAAGTGGAATACATTTTTTAAGATGGTGTGTAATTAGCCACCTCTATTACTACACTTATCATACCTTCTCAAAATTACGTGTCCCTCACCAGACTTCCGGAGGTAGGAGAAGTGCTTATGCATGGCCTCATCCCACCTTGCACTGTACCTGCCAGGGAGCAGGTCAAGAAATGGTTGACTGAACATATGTGCTTTTAATGGACTATAAATAAAATTGTCGCTCACACACTAATCACAATTTTATGTAAATGAAAATGGTAATGATGGCAATATCAGTGGCAATGATAATAAAAGCTGTTATTAGAATAGCACTGTGTCAGGAACTGAGCCCCATGCTTTATCTTACGTCATCTACACAAAAGAATTAAGTTACCATCATCGCCACTTCTGTGTGGGCTTGAGATTAGGGAACTTGCCACAATTAACAAAGGATAAGTGGTAAGTCAGGGTTCAAACTCAGGACTACTGGAGTGCAGAGTTCCCAGTTCTATACTTGACCTCAACAACCGCTCAACCATACGAAAAAAATCATGTTCTCAAACTCACTAAAACGGATTTGTTTTTAGTTAATCAATAATTGAGTCCCTCTGTGATAACACTCAAAAAGGGGGGAAGATTTACTTTGCACAATTTAAAGATTTCCTACAGCAAATACTGAAGTAATTTAGATAGAATCCTAAAACCCAAGGCCTACTACAAATACATCTTAATCTGTATTTTTAAAGGATAGGGTTACCAGTACACATGTATATATTCTTTTTGGTGTGTATCTATTTCTGAACACAACACACACAGGAATCCATCTACCATGCAGTTTAGTATTTGATTAATATGTAATGCTTCTTTCCCAAGCCATTTTACCTGTGTAAGTCTCTTCTCTCCCAAAACGTTAAAAAGCTCCATGAGGTTAAGAAATATTACATACACATCTACTATAACTCAACACCTCACATTATGCCAAAAATTGTATCATAAAACTGACAGTTAATGAGAAAACCAGCATCAGAAGATTACTCAAAACCTATGTGACTATGTAAAAGAGCACTATCACCACAGCAATCTTAGTATCATCATTGTTAGAAAGGTATCTGTAATTCCTAATAAGTACTAAATACACATGACACTATATTCAAAAGTGACATGGACAGACAGGTCAATGGAAGGGGGATTGGAAGAGCTGAAGCTGTTGAGTTACTGAAAACAAAAGCAAAATGCTGGAGACAAACCATCAGGCAAGTGTTCCTAAGCCAGAGCACGTGGCCAGAGAGAGCCAGGAGCAGGGGGTGGGGGAATGGGCATCACACACTATACTTTTTTCTGCCTGTGGCTTGCTGTTTTTCTTTTGCGTTTGTGTGCCTGGTGTTCAGGTCAGCCGTCGTTACTCAGGAGGTCAAAGTATTTGTTTAACAACCAATATGCCTTCCGCTTACACTCTTATTAAAACCCAAGGGCTAATTTGTACTATGGACAGGCACACTTGAATACACTTCCTTTTGTCTCATTTATGTAGCCACTCACATAGACTACGCATTGAATACTTTTGAACTGAAATAAATAGAACTGACAAGTGAATATAAATAAGTGTGAATGAATGATAATCAAAAACATTAAGACATTTTGGGGGAGAGTCCCTGGGAAAGAAATTTTGTGGTTTCAGAAGACCCAAAGACAGAGCTACCTGGAGTACAGCAGATTACACCCAGGCAATGACAAAGGCCTCCGGGGAGTGGGGCAGCCAGAGAGTGAGATGGGCAAGTGGAACCTGAACCTGTGCAGCCTGGCAGGTCGCAGGCTGGAGGGCAACCGAGGGAGTCAGGCCACTCCCTAGGGTGTGACATCAGTGGGCCTGAAGGCAGGCCGAGCCATGAAACCCCAACTAAAGCCAACTTAGTTTTTTGACAAAACAGGCAGCACTCTTAGAGCATGAAGTCATTAAACAACAAACACAGCACAGGCCACCTGGGAAAAAAATTCTTCCAAAATATTAACTGCAAAAAGAACTCAACCACTATGACACTACAAAGTAGGAAAAGAAAATTGTAAGATAACCAGCTTAGGGCAGAGGAGGGCAGGGGGTATGTTTTGAAACATTTCCCTTTGAATGAGGCACTTATTTAAACTTCAAAGGCACAGGCTTAAACTGTTGAAAGAACTGTCCCAACATACTTGAAGCTAACTTTACGCTGGCAAACATTTGCTATGACAAAATGTTCCAAACGGGACGGACAGGTCAGCCCCAACTCCTCCATTACTTGCACCAATAACTTACTGCTCACTTATCTAAGGAGAAAGAACAGGGTTTCTTTACTCCTTTCCCCAAATTCCTCAGGGTAAACTTTCTTAGGTAACAAGGGTTTTTTTTTTAAGATACAATGATTCAAAGTGTAGAATGAAAACAGAACTACCGGACTCACCCTTCGAAGGATATTCAGTCGATACTTTAACTTTAAACTTTCTTCCCGCAACTGCTCCAAATCTGGAGAAGTGACTATACAGCCGCCAGTTTTCAACTGATCGATTTCAAGAGTCAGAGACTTAATCTCTTTTTCCTAAGAAAGAAAACGCACTTTGTTCGGTCCAGCATGGCTGATGACTTCCGGGACGTAATTGACTGTATCATAAACTTTATGACACAGGGGGCAGGGACGAAGGACTTTCCCTTTGAAAGGTTGTGACTTTCCTTCCTCAAGGTCTTGGATGGCTTTAGCAGATCACTCTTGACAATAAGAGACACCAAGTGTGTTGAGAGAGAGGAATGGGAGTGTTAAGCACACAAGGGGTAAGTCTCATACCCCTAGTTTCTTTGGATCAGGTGTTTTGCCTTTTGCCCTTTCTAGGACAAAATGATTTTCCCAATTTTTCCCTCTTTGTTTCCAGTGTCTTATGTCCTAGACCAGACTTTTCACTCTAATACCTAAAATTAAAGACATGCCAATTCAGAAGAAAGTAAAGCGTCCAACCTAACTGCATTACTGAGGGTGAGAGGCCTCACGTGAAATTTCTTAAGGTTTACCAGCACCTAACCACAACCAACCAACAAAAAACAGGTGCCATAAATAAGTACACAGTAGCTGACCAAAACAATTCAGAAATTACATCTGTAATTCTTACCACACCCCAGTGGAGAGGTGATTATATCCAGACACTGACAAAGAACATATACTTAGAACAGTAAAGAACTTGCCAACTTGCTGGATCAACTTGACTCTGTGACTGCTGCGTTAATACTTTAAAGCACTTCCCTTCCTCTCAACCCTCCCACTTTCACAAGCTGTGAGTGTGAGAGCAGAGAGCAAACTCCTGTTTGATGATTAACCCACTCCGTGGGCTTTCTAAAATTCCTTTTGCTTAGAATCATGGAGATAAAGGTGGCTGAGCTGCAAATCAGAGCGCAGGGCTGCTTCTCTTATCTCCTTTGCTCTTTGCCCGTACCCCCGCCCTCCCCCGCCCTCCCCCGCCCCCAAGAGGCCACGTGTGCACAGGGAAGAAGGGACAGTGAGAAGTGCCTGTAAAGAAGTCCCTAGGCTCCAGCCCCGAGAGGGCGAGACCCGCCGCTCCGCTAACCTCGCTGTCACCCGGGCCCTGAAACGAAGGGTTCTTTCTATTCCATTCCTGACTGGGCGTTCACTTCCGAGACCGCGCAGGCCAGGGACTCGGGACCCCTCCGCTCGCTACGGAGAGCAACCGGGCGGCCCCCACCTCGTGGCTGCCGCCTGGACAGCGCTCGGGCGGAAGCTGGAGCCTGATTCCTCCCCTCCAAGCACTTCCACTAGCCTCCAGTGCACCCACCTGCTGCAGCAGCCGGGAGGACCACTGGGCCACCAACGGGTCCATCCTCCAGTCAGGGCCTCCAGCAACAAGTGGCCGGAAGCGGAAACGGCCAGCACTACCCGGAAGCGGAAGCCCTCGGCTCCCGGGGTCTGAAGGCTCAGTGGGTGCGGCCGCCTCTGCTGCTCCCTGGCGGAATCTCGGGTGCACTGCGTGGAGAACCCACAGGTGAGACGGCCTGGATGAGTGAGGTCGCTCTTAAATTTGGCTTTTGAATGAGGGCAGAGGTGAATGGGAGCAGAGGTGCTCTAGGCTGGGACTGACTTGGACAGTCTTTTACCTACTGCCCCTGTCTCTCAAAGGCTTCAGTTTACCCCTCTGTGAAATGGGCGCATAACTTACAAAATCTGTTTATGTATTCAACAAGCATGTATTCTGCACTGCAATGTGCCAGACATTATTCCAGACGCTGGAAACCAGTCAGACCAGGTCCCCTGCTCTCATGTAGGCTACTTTCTGGAGTGAAGAGATACACTAGACAAAAAAAGTAAATGTTGGAGTCAAGGAAGCCGTTCCTGAGTGTGTGGCATTTGAGTTAAACAGCTAAGCTGCTATGTACATTCCAAGGACAGGAGCCTTAACTGTATTTCTTGCTCACTTTTCCCGATAGCCCCAGTACTTTAAAGCAGCAGTCTCTAAATTTCTTGCTTCTGTGCCCAGTGAAAGAATTTTTTAAATTCCTACTCCCCTGTAGATTTTTAAAGTTGACATCTGAAAACTAATGCCACAACTTTAGACAGTGGTAATGGGCTATTGTCTGGTATGTTGCTTCTTGTCTAAGTGCTCTCAGGTGTTTTCATTTGCCCTGTCTGGTGTGGCTCAGTGGATTGAATGCTGGCCTGCGAACCAAGGAGTCGTCAGTTAAATTCCCAGTCAGGGCACATGCCTGGGTTGCAGGCCAGGTTCCAGGTGGTGGTGTGGGAGAAGCAACTGATGGATGTTATCCCTCACACATTGCTGTTTCTCTCCCTTTCATTCTCCCTCCCTTCTCTTCTCTCCAAAGGTAAATAAAACCTTTCTTAAAAAAAAAAAAAAAGAAAGAGCGAGCTGTGCAGCTGCAAATTGAGTTCATCCAATTTACGGAAAATGTCTACCATACAATGTCAAATCAAATAATCCAAATTATGTATCCTTCATGTTTAAAATAAGTGTGTTCCTGGGACACCTTCTCATTTCTTTTTTAATATATTTTTTATTTTATTGATTATGCTATTACATTTGTTCTGTTCCCCCCTCTGTTCCCCTCCACCCTGCACACCCCTCCCCCACCATCCCCCCTTTAGTTCATGAACACATGTCTCAAGTTCCTTAGATTCTATATTTCCCCTACTATTCTTACCCTCCCCCCTATTTTCTATCTACTGTCTATGCTACTTATTTTATGTACCTTCTCCCCCCTTCTCCTCCTCCCACTCCCCTGTTGCTAACCCTCCATGTGATCTTCATTTCTATGGTTCACTCCTGATCTAGCTGTCCTCTTAATTTGCTTTTATTTTAGGTGTGGTTGTTAATGACTATGAGTTTGCTGTCCTTTCACTGTTCATCTTTTTTATCTTCTTTTTCTTAGATAAGTCCCTTTAACACTTCATATAATAAGGGTTTGGTGAGGATGAACTCCTTGAATTTGATTTTATCTGAGAAGCACTTTATCTGTCCTTCCATTCTAAATGAAAGCTTTGCTGGATAGAGCAATTTTGGTTGTAGGTCTTTGGATTTCATGACTTGGAATACCTCTTTCCAGCCCCTTCTTGCCTGTAAGGTCTCTTTTGAGAAATCCGCTGACAGTCTGATGGGGACTCCTTTGTAGGTTACTGTCCCCTTATCTCTTGCTGCTTCTAGGATTCTCTCCTTCATTTTAATATTGGCTAATGTAATTAGGATGTGCCTTGGTGTGTTTCTTCTTGGGTCCAACTTCTTTGGGACTCTCTGAGTTTCCTGGATTTCCTGGAAGTCTATTGCCTTTGCCAGATTGGGGAAATTCTCCTTTATTATTTGTTCAAATAAGTTTTCCACTGGTGGCTGTTCTTTTCCCCCTTCTGGTACCCCTATAATTCGGATGTTGGAGCATTTAAAGATGTCCTGGAGGTTCCTAAGCCTCTCCTCATTTTTTTGAATTCTTGCTTCTTGACTCTTTTCTGCTTGGCCATTATTTGCTTTCTTCTGGTCCACTCCATTGATTTGAGTCCCAGTTTCCTTTTCATTGCTATTGGTTTCCTGTGCAATTCCATTCATTTCAAGTAGTTTCGCCTTCATATGTTTGACTAATTTGTGGCTATAATCAACCAGTTCTGTGAGGATCCTGATCACCAGTGTTTTAAACTGTGTGTCTGAGAGTTTTTGCTATTTCTTCATCGCTTAGATTTATAGGCTCTGGGGCTTTGAGATCTTCTGTTCGTGCCCTTTAAGTGTGAGGCACGGAGCCTTGGACTCCCAGGTCGCTGGGTTGTGACGCTGTATGTGGGGGCGTGGTCAGAGCGGGGAAATGGCGGCACCCTCTGCTGTTTTGCACCGCTGGGTGAAGAGCAGAGCCTTAGGTGGTTCACCTGGGCCGGGCCACTCAGAGTCGCTGGGTTATGATGCTGTATGTGGAGGTGAGGTCAGAGCAGGGAAATGGCGGCGCCCTCCCTGCCGCTAGCTGCGGGGACTGGCTAGGTCCCGGTTCAATCGCCCACTCCCTCGCTTGTCTATCCATGCACAAATGCGCGACCACAGTCAACACGCAGCCCTGGTCCCTTGCTGTTTCCCCGCGGTAGCTCGCCTGTTCGCTCGCTCAGTCACTCACTAGGTCCAACCCTGCGCCTGGATTCCGCGCGGCCCGAGTCCGTCTGACGGAGTTTTCCTGTGCAACCCGCTCCGCCAGCCGCTGGTTTCGCCCCTTACCGGTCAGACTGAAGAATTTGTTGTTAACAGACTTCTGAAAAGTTCAATTTTCTGTGTTCTGGCTGTGTGTTCTGTTGCTAATATTTAGTTGTCTCCAAACTTGATTGTGTGAGAAGGCACGGTATATCCACCTATGCCGCCATCTTGGCGGAAGTCTGGTTCAAGTTCTTAATATGAAAAATAGCCTTCTCCAGTGCCCCGTTAAGTTTTGAGAGACTAAAATATGAAAACTGGGCTTGCAAACTAGACTGGAAAATGTAAAGGAGCTTCTAGGATTCTCTCCTTCATCTTAATCTTGGCTAATGTAATGATGATGTGCCTTGGTGTGTTTCTTCTTGGGTCCAACCTCTTTGGGACTCTCTGAGCTTCCTGGATTTCCTGGAAGTCTATTTCCTTTGTCAGATTGGGGAAATTCTCCTTTATTATTTGTTCAAATAAGTTTTCCACTGGTGGCTGTTCTTTTCCTCCTTCTGGTACCCCTATAATTCGGATGTTGGAGCATTTAAAGATGTCCTGGAGGTTCCTGAGACTCTCCTCATTTTTTTGAATTCTTGCTTCTTCACTCTTTTCTGCTTGGCCATTATTTGCTTTCTTCTGGTCCACCCCATTGATTTGAGTCCCAGTTTCCTTTTCATCGCTATTGGTGCCCTGTGCAATTCCATTCATTTCAATTAGTTTTGCCTTCATATGTTTGTCTAATTTGTGGCTATAATCAACCAGTTCTGTGAGGATCCTGATCACCAGTGTTTTAAACTGTGCGTCTGAGAGTTTTGCTATTTCTTCATCACTTAGATTTATAGGCTCTGGGGCTTTGAGATCTTCTTGAGCCATTTTTGGTCTGTTCGTGCCCTTTAAGTATGAGTAGCGGAGCCTTGGACTCTCAGGTCCCTGGGTTGTGACGCTACATATGGGGGCATGGTCAGAGCGGGGAAATGGCGACCCCCTCTGCTGTTTTGCGCCGCTGGATGAGGAGCAGAGCCTTAGGTGGTTCGCCAGGGCGGGGCCACTCAGGTCGCTGGGTTATGATGCTGTATGTGGAGGCGGGGTCAGAGTGGGGAAATGGCGGCACCCTGTGCTGCTGCTCACTGTGGGGCCTGCTCAGTCCCATACTCTCACCGCTCACTCCCTTGCTTGTCTATCTGTGCATGAAAGCGCGACCACAGTCAACCCGCAGCCCTTCTCCTTCGCTGTTTCCCTGCGGTCGCTCGCTGAGTCTCTTACTAGGTCCAACCCTGCGCCTGGGTTCTGCGCACCCGAGTCTGTCTGATCGAGTTTTTCTGTGCAACCCCGCTCCAACAGCTGCTGGTTTCGCCCCTCTTACTGGTCAGGCTGAAGAATTTGTTGTTATCAGACTTCTGAAAAGTTCAATTTTCTGTGTTCTGGCTGTGTTTTCTGTTGCTAATATTTAGTTGTCTCTAAACTTGGTTGTGAGAGAGGGCACGGTGTTTCCACCTACGCTTCCATCTTGGCGGAAGTCCTCAAGTTCTTTAGATTCTATATTTCCCATACTATTCTTGCCCTCCCCCCTATCTATTTTCTACCTACCACCATCTATGCTACATTTTCTGTACCTTCTCCCCCCTTCTCCTTCTCCCACTCCCCTGTTGCTAACCCTCCATGTGATCTTCATTTCTATGTTTCCGCTCCTGATCTAGCTGTCCTTTTAGTTTGCTTTTGTTTTAGGTGTGGTTGTTAATAACTGTGAGTTTGCTGTCCTTTCACTGTTCCTGTTTATTTAACTTCTTTTTCTTAGATAAGTCCCTTTAACATTTCATATAATAAGGGCTTGGTGATGATGAACTCCTTGAATTTGCTCTTATCTGAGAAGCACTTTATCTGCCCTTCCATTCTAAATGAAAGTTTTGCTGGATAGATCAATCTTGGTTGTAGGTCTTTGGATTTCATGACTTGGAATACTTCTTTCTAGCCCCTTCTTGCCTTTAAGGTCTCTTTTGAGAAATCCGCTGACAGTCTGATGGGAACTCCTTTGTAGGTGACTGTCCCCTTATCTCTTGCTCCTTCTAGGATTCTCTCCTTCATTTGAATCTTGGCTAATATAATTACGATGTGCATTGTTGTGTTCCTTCTGGGGTGCAACTTCTTTGGGGCTCTCTGAGCTTCCTGGATTTCCTGGAAGTCTATTTCCTTTACCAGAATGGGGAAGTTCTCTTTTATTATTTGTTCAAAT